GACAAGCTCTGGTAGAGAAAGCTCTTGTCAGTTACGGCCAACAACAGTTATAGTGTACTTGAATCACTATGATATACATTTCTTACAAGAAACTCACATAAGCATAACATATAGACAACAATAGACCATTTGGACTTTCAAGCCTGTCCTTGCACACTCACCCTTGAGAAAGAAAAAAAAATTAAACCCACCTTTATTTTTTTTCCCAGAAATTATTTATTCTCCTCTATAAACTATTAATATCCACTATTGCCGACGACATCTCATTTCATAAACTTATCACCCGTTTGATAAGTATAACTGTCTTAACAGGAGCTTAGCTTGTATTTCCCAAATCTTAAACTCTGTGTCTTATTGTCCTATTGTTTTCAGATTACCGCACAAGAATATCAGATATCTCTATCCCGGATAATCTTGTAAACTTTATTAAGGTCAAGTCTTACCCATCTTTTCTCAAGATAAAATAATTTAAGAGATCTTCTCCTATCCCTAAAAGATAACCATTCTATCCACAGTTTCTTCATAATAAACCTTCTCTGGACCATTTCTAATAAGTCAATATCCTTTCTTAGGTAAGAAGACCAAACTGCACACAGTATTCCAAGTTAAGCCTAACTAATGATTTGTATAGAGAAATGATTACCTATTATGATTTGTAACCAATATTTCTATAAGTACACCCTAAAATTCTATTAGTTCTACCACTATTAGAAACAGATGGTTTTAGTGATCTTCCCAACACTATGCTATGGCCCTTTTTTTTTTTCTTTCAGTCATGCTACCTGTTGAATAAGTCCCCATCTTTAATAAACGTATGATTCAAGTTACGATAGTCTAAGTAAATTACCTCGCACTCACTGTAATTGGAGGACGTTTTCTCAACTAATCTAAGTCCTTCTGTAATACCTTAACATCACCATTACAGCTAGAAATGTAAAAACGTTTATTGTTTGTTTGTAATTAAGCACAAAGCTACAAAATGGGGTATCTGTGCTCTGCCCACCAGGGGTATCGAAAACCGGTTTCTAGCATTGTAACTCCGCAGACATACCGCTGTGTCACTGGGGGGCAAGTTTATTGTCATCCACAAACTTTACTAACAAACTAATTATTGTCCCCATCAATATTATTAATATGAATAGATTTTTTAAAAGGCCCAAAACTCGAGCGCTTTCGAATAGCTGACTGTTCTTTTTCAGAAGAATATACGCCCTTTATCCTCCTGAAGAAGAATAGTCAACTATTTCTAAAGCGCTCGAGTTTTGGGTATTATTATTATTATTTTGCAATTCATTGCACCTTTTGCGTGTGATCCTGTATGCCAACTCTTTTACCTGACTTGATATGAATAATAAAAGGCAAAAGGTCTAGGCACTGACCTCTGAGGCACTCCATTAGCAACAAGGAATCCTCTGTCATCTCACCATCTACAATCCAGTTTTGTACTCCTGCCTCAATCTCCACCGATGCGATTTTCTTAGCCAATCTTCTTTGAGGCAACTTGGACTAATTAGGGGGTGAAAGTTTAACCACAGAATTAACGATCGGTTCCAAGACCTCGCTTCTCTTAATTGTTTACGTAGGAAATTGCTTATGGATAGTTAGTTACAGGACCCCTGGAATTAGATGAATCGCACCCAAACAGAAGAAGAAATAAAGAAATATACCAACAATATTGCAATTACTCATTAATTACTGTTGCAGTTTCTTTATTATGCATTTTAAATAGAAAATGGGTGATTCCACCAAACTGTTTGATAAGTTTTTTGCAACGAGTATTGTAACAGGAAAAAAATCAGTTGTATAATGGAACACATGTTTTTTTTTTGTTTGAAGTTAAGCAAACACAAATGGGCTATCTGTGCTCTGCCCACCACGGGTATCGAAACCCAGTTTCTAGCATTGTAAGCCCGCAGACATACCGCTGTGCCACTGGGGGGGCAATACAAAACGTGGACCCCACCGTTGGTGAACGGTGTGTAAATAAGCCGGTAACTTGAGACGTAAACAGTATTCTGCAGTACGAACATGCCACGTGCAGCTCAGCGCGTAAAAACCTGCTACTAACGGACGCGTTTTATGTCCATTGCAAATAAATATTCTTTGCTGTGCTTTTCTTACCCCAAAATACTATATATATACATTAATGATTGTATTTTGGTTTAGTTGTCGTTAAGCGAAACGCTGCACAATGTTCTAGCCGTGTTGAGCCCACCACGAGTATCGAAACCCAGTTTTTAGCGATGCGAGTCCTCAGACTTATCATTGGTCCACTGAGGTAGGGTGTGTGGAAATGGCAGAGTTGTTCAAACTACGTAATAAATCTTTATAAGTCAATAATTTCAGCGGAAAAGTTCTTGTTTTCAAAAGTATCACCAAATCCCTAGAAAAGCGAGAGATAAACAAAGGGGATTAGGCCCGTATTAATCAATTCATATCTGCTTTCGCTAGTACTGCAATCTAGAAAATTTAAAACGAATAGAAGATAAAGAAATTAAGGGATCAGTTGTGTTGTTCATTCATTATATAAAATGATAGGCCAGAAAGTGGGGGGAGAGGGATAGTTTCTGTAGCTAGGATATGAGGGCACTCTCTCAAATAATTTATGCTATCCTTAGAAAAAAAAAAAATTAGCGGGGGACGTGTCCCCCATGAAAACTACGCTATGGAATTGTGTTTGCTATTTAATAACTTTATATGACGAGTAATACAAAATTATCGAGAACCCATTAGAACGCCCTACATCATTCTGCTAATGAAGCCGAGAAAGTGCTACTTTTACGTACGCGCTCGACGCGTGTAATGATGTTCTTTTAATAGTTCCTCTAGGAGTTTCGTTGAAGCCCGTATAGTTTAGGGAGCGTATATTAAATACCAATAATTAGTAAAGGAAAAACAATTAAAAACATTTGAAAACCAAATCAGCTGATTTTAAAGATAAACAGCAAACGTAGCTATAGTATTTTTGAAACTTAGTTATATGTTAGGTTTAGCAAAGAGTGTTAATAAATAATAGGTTTTATAAATGTTTTGTTCTTTATATTAAACGATAATACTGGTTTGTAAATAACAAAACCGAAACCAAAATATACGTATGCTAAATTGTGGATTTATAACAACTCATTATACCTTTAGGGTTGGTTTCTTCATACGAACTTATTGGTGTCGGTTTAATGCAAGCTACGCAATGGGCTTTGTGCATTGTAAATCCGTAAACTGACAGCTGACCCACAGAGGGGGGCATGAACTTGTCATATCCATTGTTTCACCCACACGTGAGGCTATAGAAGTGAAATTGTGTCCCAGTAAAGTTAAAGTTTCTCTTTATTTACCGTCAGTTAACGTTTTTAACGGCAGTAACGATAACCTTCTGTAGTAACTATGAGAACGTGCGTTAAAAATAAGATTTTATTGTTCTTCAAGACAATTAAATACAAAAGTGTTTGTATAGAAATGTATACTGATCGTAAAAATATAATCATATTAAATACAATTTAAAGGAATACTTTTTTTCTTTCTTTCCAAATCATATCAGAAACTCATAAAATGATGGAAACATCCATAAACAAATCTACGCATGCGTAAAAGGAACTTAGGACCTGAGATTTCAAATTACGCATGTCAAAACTTTAGTTCAGAATAAAAAAAAACCACACACACTCCCTCCTACCCCACAGATAATGAATAAAACTTGTTTGTTTGTTATGGATTTCGCGCAAAGCTACACGAGGGCTATCTGCGCTAGCCGTCCTTAATCTAGCAGTGGGAATTTAGAGGGAAGGCAGCTAGTCATCACCAACCACCGACAACTCTTGGGCTACTCTTTTTTTACCAACGAATAGTGGGATGGACCGTCACGTTATAACGCCCCCACGGCTGGAAGAGCAAGCATGTTTGGTATGACGGGGATTCGAACCCGCGACCCACAGATTCGAGTCGAGCACCCTAACCACGTGGCCATGCCGGGCCTTCTGTGAAATAAACGCTTTATTTTTGGATTCTGAGATGGAAAAAAAAAGAATTTTTTTTTGTTACAGTAAAATGGTTTGTCTTATTATTCCTTTTTAAACTTTAAGCCAATAGAAGTAAGTGATATTTTACTTATTTGTATAATTTTTTTTAAATTCCAAGCTGACAAAATTAAGCGATTTTTTGTGGTTTGGTTTGTTTGGAAGTTCGCGCAAAGCTACACGAGGGTTATA